TAGCACGATTCGACGTCAGAGCGACCAGTCATTCTCTTTCTAGAAACTGCGGGTGCTCTCTTTCCTATTGTCTTAGTCACGTACGGACAAATATGGTCACACGGCCGGCAAGATGAGCAACGTCCGATCGCAACGTGCGCGTACTTGGCGAGGGAAAATCTCTCGACGTGACGTGAAATTTCGCTTCTAAGAGCGAATAGTGAGGAGGGTTGAGAGAGTCTCCCTGAAAGGAACTCGCCACGAAGTCTCAGCGAGTCTCGGGCTGATCGCCAGGAATCGCCGCCAAGAGAAAAAGGGTTCTCGGAAGAAGAGGTAAAGGTCTGCCGCGCTGGCTGCGCTTTCCGAGGGTCTCGCGCCGGGGCAAGAGACGTGTGGCTTGCCAAATCGCGTGTATGAGAGTCAATTGAGTAATACCTAACTATATACGCCTGTGATGTAGCTGACTATTTTCGTAAGACGAGTTTCGCCTAATCCGCGACTCACTTTGCCTCGAACAATCGTCCGATGTTTTTTTAGTAATATATATGAAACAAAAACAAAAAAAAACCAGATTAGATGATTGGTCAAGGTAATATTGTTTTTGTTTAATATGTTTAATATATAGGTGTCGTAGATGCTTTTTAATCTCCATCTTGAGAATTGAAATGTCACGATTTTTGATGAACTCATTTTCTACAGCCCGATATGCAGAGGAAAATTATGCTAATGATAGCGTTTTCGTAATAAGGATCATTTCCGCATATCTATTGTCTCGGAAATGAAACTGGTTGAAATTATGTCGGTTTGAATCGCAAGTTACCTTGGGATCGTGACGGGAAAATTGTGAGAAAATGTAAGAAAATATAAGAATAATATTCGAGTAGCTTGTGTGCATACAAATAACTTCATTAATGAAACTGTTCTCGTTAGGTTGCGGGATAAAATGGCAATTCCGCGGAGTCCCTGAAAGTTCGCACGATGTATATCTAATAGCTAATTTAGCGGTAAAAAAATACGCTGCAAAAATAGAGCGATGTTGAAAACAACTTAACGACTTGTCTCGCATCATGCCCAGCATTTAACAGTTAATGACTATCGTCGATTGTCGAGAGTCGTATCTCAGACGTATGTTAGATGGTTGTTCGCTGGTTTTTTTTACATTCGTTAACGTAACACTGCAGAGTCAGAAAAATACCGACTCAAGAATAAGCCATCAAGCGGATGTTTACGTAGCGAAATGATGAATGTTGGATAATCGTCGGTATTAATATTAATATCGTTTTGCGTGCGTTTCTTGCGACGATTGCGCAAGGAATATATTTATAAAATAGCTAATAAAATGTAATGTGATCAGTTGAAATGTGTCTCTGGACAAACATTCGATCTGATGATTCACGAACTAATTAATTAGACGTACGGATTTCTCTCAAAGATCTTTTTCTCCTGAAGAGGAGGATAGATATCCTCGAGCGACCTTCGAGGCCCTGTCGAAAAGTATCGAGTATATAAATTTTCCCGAGTGCTTGGACTACTCTCTCGATCTTCGGGCTATCACGCCGGGTAACTGACATTAAGTAATTTGTTATTTCCGTCGACCCGACCTCTCTGGGTAACGAACGCCGGCCGTCGTTTAATAATAGATCGATCAATTCGAGAACCAGCTTCCTTAATGAGTCTTTCGGTTATTAAATGTACTTTCGTCTATCTGTAATCGAGCCTCCACGTGTCGCCGCATGGTCGATTTAGTCGCGATATTATCAGAAAATGGGCCGAAACTCCCTTGCGGGGTTGCTTCCGCAATTATGCCAAAAATAAACTCAATTCCGAGCCCGAAAATTGGGGAGAAAAGCGATTCGCAAAAGTAAATTTGACATAATTATATCATAAAATAGAATATATACAGAAATTAAGTATATACTGGTATAATTTCTGCAAAAGTGAAAGTTGTGTGACATTTATTTTCGCAAAGACCTCAAGAGGAAAATTGTATTTCTTCGCTTCCTTTCCTTATTTATCAACTCGCGTGTTCATCGACTACCTATATACTCATTCAAACAGGAATCCTGCAAAATTCGGTTACACCGATTTCAATGGTTGACTTTAATGCACAAGAACCGGTATCCTATATCATTGGGTAAACTCTTTCCATATGATCAATGGACGTACAATAATAATAATAATCAGCCGCAGGCGCGCTCTCTTAAGCTGCCGATTAATCATTCTGCGACGATGATTTTAGCGTGATAAGCGCATTTATCCCGAACCCGTTTTGTTTAAACTTATTTACGTTGGGTATATCGCACGATGAAATCGACCGCGTCGACGATTGTTCGAAGAAAGCGTATGTTAATACGTCTGCTGTAACCGTCTCTGTGGTGTTTTTCAATTGTAATCTGATTAGGAATGATAACGATTCCGACGAGTTGCGGCGAGGTGAACGCGTTTCTGCCGGGGCCGCCGGGGGCATGACGGGCGCGTTTCATCACGTACACGGTGTTCTGTTATCATTCGCAATGTGGCTTTTTTTCTCTCCTTGCGACAGTTATAACTTATAACGGGTGATGCGTAACGTGACGTGTCCCACTTGCCTTCGCGCAAGTTATGTCCGGTGTGGGATGTTCAATATTCCTCGGCGAAAGCCGCCGCGGCGCGGCGCCCAAGTGAAAAGTCTCTCTCGCGATATTTGTGCGTGTGCGTGCACGTGCGCGTGCACACACAGGTTAGCGACCCATTACAAGGTCGACCACAAATTATGCATTTGTGTAGACTCGTGTCATAACTGCTTACTTTCAGCCTGCTCGCGACGATAACACCGCAAGTTGAACCGCAGTTATTTAAATAATACTTATTATCATTTCGTTTGAATAAGTGTTAGCTGAACAATACTGGTCACCAATACTAAAAGTATTGATGAGATAATTTCCTGGAAATATTCATACCACTAATAAACATTGATAACACGTAGACAATGCATTGATGTGTTAGTAGTGCTTTAATGACTAAATGGTTAATACGTGAAAGTAATGCAACTTGCGAAATAAACTCGTTATCGATGAGAAACGTTGAGAAACTGTGAGGTTCTCCTGAAAAACAAGTGTTATCTACGCTTCTCTCTGTAAAAATTCTCGCTTATATATATATATATATATAAGCGAGAATTTTTATATATATATATATATAATTAAAATTCGCATAGTATTAAATAGTTTCTGCATCGTTGTTCAGATGTTTGGTTTTGCTGATTTTATTGTGAATCCGTCACTACAAGTTCACTTGCAATATCTTGCCTCTTTGCATGCCAAGACGTGTTGTGTAAGAAAGCCGAAATGTGCGTTGCGCGAAGGAGTTTTTACACGTATGCGGAAGAGGTGGGGTGTTGCAGGAGCGATTGCAGGGGCGAATAAAAAATTCGCTTATTTGCGTGAAACGAATCTCGCGGCACGGGAGACAAAGAATTCGTTGTTTAAGCTGACTTAATCGGCTTCCACGAGAAGTCCATTGCCATTTCGAATTGCGGGCACGTGCGCTAACTCGCGACATGTATGACGAACGAACTGTTTACCCTACTGTTTACTCCGACGCATTTCTTGAAACGATCCTAAATGTGATTGCGTCAGCGATCGATCGATCACCAGAACTCTTCCGACCGGTGCGGAAGCTCGGCTAATAAGTCCGACAGGCGGAATATTTATAACGGATGAGTTGATTTCAATATCGGTAGCGCAAGAAAAAAAAACTGACAACAGAAACTATAAATATTAACAAGCTCGTATCTAGTAAATTGCATTACGCGGTAAAACGTGACTCGAGTCACGCACAGTCACGTTCGCTTATTTTCTAATGATAAATTATTCTATCGGCAATTGTTTGCGTATTAGAACTACTGAAAAAAAGAAGTTAGAAAATACTGAAAAAAACCCGGAAGCATACGGAATTATCGTAATAGGCAATGGTCTGATCTGTGAAGTTTAAAATCTCGCGTGACAGGGTGCGCAAAAAGTTATTCGCGATTTTTTTTTTTTAACGTAATACGATATCAATTACGCGTTCCTCGACAGCGGGTTCTCGCAACTGCCTGTTCCTGTAACTTAACCGTGCAAATAATAATTTCCATCGGTGATACTGTTTGTTCTACTCGATCGATTAAGGAGCAATCGCACGTTGCGGAGTATAACACGGTCATTAAGCGCGATACTCTGTGTAGCGTGTCCAGTGTACTGAACTGTAATTTATGCCGATATCTATCTAGATGCCCATATCTCTTGCGAGACGTGTACACAAAAGCATGAGGTGATGTATTAATCAGTAGTAGGCAAGACGCGCACCATTCAATGATGCAATGCAAACACCTGATTGCGTGGATCGCTTTCGGATGACCCGGAAACCCACTCCTCCATGTTTGCGCACGTGTAAGCACGTAAACGCGGTTACATAATTAATATCGCGATTAACGTACCGAACGATTAACGCCCTTTGCGCGTACTAATATAATTAACGCTCTTTATCGGCGAAGCGACGATACACTCTGCGAGAAATATATATAGTGTATATTTTGTGCGCTATATGAAGCATCGATTCGTGCCGTTATGTGACGCGTAGGTGAAAACGTGACTTGTGTACTTTCCAACGCCGAAAACTTAACCGAGGCCCGAGCGTATAAATAACGGTCTAGGACCAAACAACATGATTGGGCTGGCCAATTATTGGGTAGATACTAAACGTAAAGGCAGATTTTTCTACCTGAAAACTACGAGAGGTATTCGAAACCCGAATACATTTCTAGGAGGGGCAGGCAAATAGTGATCGTTCTATACAACGATTTTGAGGAGCGAAATGCGTTGTTCTATGAAAATAGTATTTTTAGTAAATTTGGTTTCCTTGGAATTATCTCTTGAACTTTTGACTGTATATTTTAAATTTCGAAATTTTCGTTTGATTGCTATTGCATTTGTCGAGTCCATGTATCTCTAATTTACTACGATGACGCTTTTGTTTACAACAATGTGTTTTGATTGTTACAGACTCATGTCCTGTTGATGGATGCTTTCCTACAGAACAACAGGCTGGATCATGTTTCGAGAGTTATGTCTTCGCACCCATCGTATCTGGAACATTTCCTCCGGACCCAGCATTTCATCCTTCGGGGCGACGGTCCGCTTCCTTATGACTACAGACATCTCATTGCCATTATGGTAAATATCTGTTTTCTTTCTTATTTTCTATAAGAAAATTTAAGTGTAATCAGAGAATTTGTTATACTTTATTAATTGTGTGATTTTTGAACACATTCTTACGACTTTTATTGCGTTTTCTTTGCGTCATTTAATAACTGGTAAAATTTTACGAAAGGTAACTGAAACAATTAAAAGGTGTGTATTGATATTAACTTTAGAATTTAGTTCGGTTTATTAGAAACTTTGTTTTACATTAATTTGTAGAGTTTAAGACGAGATATGTTTCTTATTTCTTTTTTTTTCTCTTGAGAAGTTCTTATTAGAAGCGTTTTTTTGCGTTTAATGCTCAGTTTCATTGAATATAATTTATCATGCACGTAGAGAATTGTTGCTCACGAAACTAAACACTTCTTCGCCGCGATGATGATGCGTCTTCGTCTTTAAGTTCCCTGATCACCCTCGACGAGCGACAGCGGGTCACCGGGTCAAAGATTATCGCAAACCGAGTAAATGCAGCGCGTGTGCGTTTCGTAATGCCGTACACGTTCTCGTGAAAAGAAATTAGTAAAGATGTGAATAACGTTGACTATTCCTTTATGATCTTTACTCGACGATCTACGCACTCATTTGCTTTACTTCTAGTTATTTTTGTATAAAAAAAACATGCAGTTTGTTGTACGTAATTATATAACCTTATCTCTTATCTCTGAACATGCAAGATATATTATAATTAAGACATAAATTTGAATAGATCGGTGGCAAGATACAAAATGTTTTATTTTTTAATTAGGTACATGTTTTTTAGTTTCTCCGTGAATGATTTAATTCTTAAATAACGGAAAGCTTATTTAAATTAAATTGTGTGCGTATGAGCATTTTGTAGATATATTTTGTAGACTATAAATAACACGTAGGAGAGAATGTCCAATCGAAGGTTCCATTCGCATGCAAAAATCGAACAAGCCATATTTTTAAGTAAATGAGTCATTTATCATTCCATGTTCAGAATACAGATTCGTGCGAGAAACAGGCTTGTCTAGATAACACTGCGCAAAGATAGCGGAAAGATAAAATTGATTTGCCAGTTTTATATTCGCATCATATGAACGAATTCACGTTATTACGAAAGTAAAATGCATCTTTGAGATCGCAAGATTTTTATGGATCCTTAAAAACGTCGAATATTTCACGGAGAGTTCCAAAATATTTTCTTTTTTTCTCGCGATATTCGAGATCCGCGATATCGCAAACCTGTTTGTTTTCCATAAGTCAGCCGTCACTTGAATTCGAAGCGAGTTTATTAAGTACTTTGTTTTGTTTAGCTCCCGTTTTCATTCCTTGCAAAATTAAGACGGCTTGTCGGAGAAACCCGTTTCGCGAGTTAAGATCTTACTTCTTCTCTGAAGGCTAAGCTCTTCTCGGATTAGCTAATGCATAGTTGGTGATTGAATGTATATTTCCGTAAATGTGTATCTGAGGTATAAAACTACCAGTGAGAGAAACTACGGTGTGTTGTTAAATAAGTATACGCGATATATATAATATATATATAATATATATATAGATATATAGGCGAGAACAGGTATGCAGATTCTGCAAACTGGTTTATTCTGAATTGTCGAGTTAACGGCTGTTTGACGAGCATTCGCGGCCGCCGCCGACTTTGTTTATTGCAAAATGTCGGACTGTGCAGACTGTAAAAGTGCATATCTCCACAGGATACAATATCGAGGTTACAGCTTCCGCCTTTAAATGATACGCAGTCGCGATCGGATGTCGTTGTGAGCCATTGCGAGCTTAATCTTATACTCAAATGATAATTTGAACAATTCGCGCATTACGACAGATTTTCTTTATTACTTCCTTGAAACTCGAGTCGAGACCTTTACGTTATTCAAATGTTTAATAATAATTATTAATGTCGCTGTATTCGAGCGTGCTAAATTTATTCGATTCACATTTAGCTGTTTCGCACCTTTCGCGCTTCCTTTATACAATCTCGGAACTCGATCTTTGAGTAATCTCGGTTTGATAACGGGAATCACACATCAGTAGACCGCGACCGGCGTGATAGACAAAATATCACAACGTGTACGATCGATCGAGAAATATTTTATCTCGAAGAGCGGCGAAGTGCGGACAAGGACGAAGTAAATTGTTAGACGAGGATGAGTGTGATAAAATGATAAGGTATTTGAAAAACAGCTTTTCTACTGATAAACATTGTGTTCGGTGTGCATGAACTCGCTACCTCGGGATGCGATTTGCGATCACCTCGGATCGTTCCTCGTCGAAAATTGACACTGGTAATCGCATCTTTGCAAATTTGTTAGTAAAATTAAACGAGAAATTACTATTTAGAAAATATACGTGTCAAGATCTTTTATTTGAAAACAGAGATAATAATGAAATGCAGTTCAGTCTTCTTTTATTCATTTATTCTAGTACTATATTATATATATACTTCATTAATCATTGCCTGAATAAAATATCGGACAACTCATATGCAGAATAAATTAGAGGAAATATAGAAGAGATCTATCTTTGAAGATAAATATCATTGCTATCGCGAATCGAATGGCCTCGCATTCACGTTCATATGTTCTATCTAATGCAGGCATAAAATTCTTGCTATATTTAACGTTTGATAACATTGATTATTATATATATCAATGATTTTTTTTATAGCTGTCTTTCAAAGACGATCGATGCATAGCACAGAGAAACGATAACTTAAATATTACGAAGAACGGAATTGCATCAATATAGAATTACGATGAACGCTTTGGTAACTTTATGCAAACAGTATATTATTTGCGACTCGGAAAAAGAACAAAATGTTTTTCGCAAAAGAGTTTTGTTTTACAATTGTTGTACAGATAATATTAGAATATCGATATCGCAATATCGGACTGTCTGAGATATTGTAAACGTGTTTTCTGCCGATTGTCGTTCGCACATATTGTTATTCTCGTCGCCGCGATAATGCACTACTTTCAATATTTTATCATCTTCCGAATACTCGCGCGATAATTCTCGATGGTGAAAAACAGAGATCGGTATCACTGGGTAAATTTCTTTCACGCCGAGCACGATAATTATGACTCGTTAATCTACAATCGTCGCGTGAAACGAGTAAGTAATGCAAATTTTCGTAATTAATGAACTTAGCGTGAGTCAGATCGATGCTGACTGATTATGCGATAAGAGATGCTGACTTCTCGATTTTTTCGATTTAATTGACGAACGCGTGAAATTATTAATGAGGAAAGCACGCAGTCGAAGTGTTCGTGTTTCTCGGGAAGATCCGCTAGATTCTTGAGGGAGGCGAAAATGTATTTGCGAACTCTCCTCTTATATATCGTGACTCTTGAATTGATCGATTTACCGTTCTCACGGCAAACACGTGTCCTGTTGCGTATCTCATCGCACTCCTCTCTCTCTCTCTCTCTCTCTCTCTCTCTCTCTCTCCCCCTCTCTCCCCCCCCTTCCACCGTCATTTTTCTTCTTCATTTCGCTTTTTTTTCACTTGCGTTCGCTCTACCACCCCTTTGCCGTGGTATTACCATGTCCTGTCACGATGATCGATCGACTCTGTCAGGATCGTGCTGCATCCGTCGCCCACGCGAGATTTCCCGGTTGGCGAAATGACGAGTCAGGGGATGCTAAACCGACGTGTTTCATGCCCGCGGGGCTTTGCAAAGTTAGTCACGCGGGAATAAATAGATCGCCACCGAGTTCACGTCAGGGAAATTTAAATCTTAAATAATAGCGCTTATATACCTGTATTAAATCTTCAAAAAAGAAAAAAAAGATTTCCCATTTTTATAGAGCAATATTTACCGCGTCATTGGGTTAAATCTTCCGTTATTAACGTTCTATTTCTCGCAGTACGTTGTAACGAGATACCGTTAGTGTATTTAAAACGTTAAATATCGAAGTCTTCAAGTATATATTCAATGACACGTCTTCTAACGTCATCATTGATATTGATGGTTTTATTATTGCCTTCATCACGCATGGGAACAATTTTCTGGTGAAAATTCTCTCGCTACAATAAGACCGATAAACGTGAAAACCTACGGGGAGAGGCTCATGGGATTATTCATCGCGGGGGATGTGCAGGATTGAGCGTAGTGCATATATCCTTGAAACGGATGTTGCTGTTCGTCACGTGCTGGAAATGATCGTGCGCGTGATAACGCGCGATATTGGCGGTCGCGACCTCGTGCAATTTTGCGCTCCGATGCATCATCACGTCGCCGTCAATTCGCCTATCGCCGGGCGAAATTTGTTATTGAAAAACGGGCATACGGCATACGTCCCTTTCTGCCCTCCTGCACCCCACAGAAATCGAGCCAATAACTCCGACGCTCGTTCTCGAAAATTTTGTGGAACGGGGAAAGCCACACCGTTTATCACGCCGCGATGCGCGATATCGCATGCACACACGCGCGGAAATACACGTGCATCGACGGCAATAATGCACGCGCGACGCCATCCGGCACTCAATACGCGAATAGAAATTCCTCGTGAGGCAAAATTGCTTTCGGTCGACTCGCGCTGCTCGATCGTTTTTTATATTTCGCCCTTATTTCCCCGCGGATAGTATCTTATCGATAGGCATTATCTGATTCTGCAGACCTGTGTGTATCTGCTTACTGTGATGTAGGGCCTGAGGTGAGCGCAATAATCGAGATTACTAGGTCCGTACCGTTGAAGCTTAACGGCCATAAATTAGTTGATTTATTATGTAGCGCGGGGTGTGCATTGGTTCGACTATAATTATATTACATCATTACACGACGCACTTGAAACATCTGAAATGCGTTTCATTCGAAACGTTTCTATCGCGCATATAGATCTCGTCTCTTCAAACATGTATTTAAATTGCATTTTATCAATCAATTAGCAAAATTCAAAGAGTTTATAGCCCTTTTTAGAAGACCGTTGAAAAGTTGTGCGATCACTTTTAACGGTATACGATTAATAATCTCGCAGTGTGTAGGAGAGACGATTACGTTAGAAATGTTTTCTGAGGGTGGCATTGAGTGTTGCGCATGATACGAGAGAGTTAAATTGACGAGAACAGGTTTGAAGATCTATCTTAATGTAATTTCAGGCTGCGGGTAGGCACCAGTGTAGCTACCTTATAAACCTGCAGAAGGGAGAGTTCGTTATTCAGGGCGGTGACCCCTCGTGGCTCCAAGGCTTGAGATCGATGCCGGGGAAGCTGCAGGATCTCTATGAGATCAACAAGATCCTAGCCCATAGACCGTGGCTTCTGAATAAGTCGCACATAGAGGTAAGCGGTGAGGATATTCGAGATTCGCGCATAGAATCGCGCGCGAATGTTCGAGGACGTTCGTGATGTAATACGCTTGTATTTGCTATTTCCAGAAATTGACTAAAGGCGACGATAATTGGTCCTTAGCGGAAGTCGTTCACGCGATAGTCCTATTAGCTCACTTCCACTCGTTATCGTCTTTCGTATTTTCTTGCGGAATTAACGAGGAATTGGATAACGTAACTGGCCATCATTACAAGGAGAATAAGGACAATAGTAGTAACATACCGCCTGCCAAAGATAAGCTCGCGAGCAGCCCTAAAAAGATCCCCAACGGAGACGGCAAGACTGGTATGTGATACTTACTATATAAATAACATGTCACTCGTATATAATACGATTAAATTATTTATACAAAACTATCCATACACGTTCGTTTTTCCACGTACGTTCATAATGTTGACAAAAAATTTATATAACACTTCAGATTGAGAAATTATCGTGATTTACAGAAAATAACATACCGTCGTCGCCGTCGTCGCCGAGCATAGTCGGCGAGCAGGAGGTTGGAGTGGAGACCCTGATGGAACGTATGAAGCGTCTCTCGGAAAAGTCCGAGTCCTATCAGATCACGCAGGAGGAGCTCTCCAAGAGATTCGAGACTGTCGAGACGCAGTCGGCCGAGCTGGCAGCGGCGCCGCAGAGGAGCAGCTCGGTTCTGGACTCCGATATCGGTCTATTCATCGAGGATCCCACTTTCATCTACCAGGATTTCGCCAAGGTGAGCCGCTCCGCCGTCGGATTTTACCGCGTTCGTAACTGCGAAACACAGTTAGCCCGATAGACTGCCGTGATGTATCTTAATTGGGCTCATCCATTTATGTTGATAAACTCCGCGACCCTCATGTTATTCAACAACGCGGCGATGATTCCTCGTGCACGTCCGCTGTTTTTGTACGCCTAGTTAAGTAGCACGTAATGGATTAGAGCCGAAAGACGATATTTCAAGGTAGTGTGTGGCTCATCCATGAATATTTAAGCCGGCTGCCTGCCTGCGCTCCGCGCGTCGCGTCGGCTTACGGCTCCGCTCGCGTAACTGCTGTATGAATATTTACTGCGCGACGACATTGTGTATTGGCTGACTTAAGATAGGCTACGAAGGCGGGGCACCAGCGCTTACGCCACGCGTTAACGCGCGAGATAATAAAAAAAAGTCGCTTCGCCGCGTTGGTTGCTACCCGCAGTATATATTTTCTTCATTTCTCAACATAATTTTTTTACGTCTTTCGCGATACTTTTTTATGGATGCAACTTTTCTCGTCTCTTGGCGCACCTCATTCTTTTCTTACTAACTCGATTCTTTCGTGTTTCTAGCGCGGTCAGCTGAACGACATACCGACCTTCCGCGTTCAGGACTATTCATGGGACGATCACGGTTATTCCTTGGTGAATCGTCTGTACAACGACGTCGGTAATCTCCTCGACGACAAATTCAAGACCGCGTACAATCTGACGTATTACACCATGGGCACGCACAACAAGGTCGATACGTCGCGCTTCAGACGTGCGATCTGGAACTACATACAATGCATGTTCGGCATCAGGCACGACGATTATGATTACAACGAGGTTAATCAATTGCTCGAGCGTAGCCTCAAAACCTTCATCAAGAGCGCCGTTTGCTATCCGGAGCGCGTCACAAAGAGGGATTATGATCGCGTCATGAGGGAGTTCAAACACAGTGAAAAGGTAGGCAGAAATATCTTCTAAATTGATCCGACTTAATTGAAATAATTTTATTAAGAAATAAAACGGAATACGTTTTTATAGTACAAATATCTTTAAAAAGAAAACGATTTTAATCAAAATGCATACGATTAAACCATAATGCAATAAGGTTTTATTTCCTACTTTAAACAAATCTTGAAAATGAACGATTTATGTAAATAAGCTTACAAGTTAAACGTGTTAAATATAAAATACTTGGCACTGTTCGGCTGAAAATAACTGCTGCCGGTCTTGCGATAGAAAGTTGAGATTAGCTCGCACGAAACGCATTATGCATTTGGAATTAGCCATTTAACGTCTGTTATAAGACTTTTATCGTGATGAAACAAGAAACATAAAAATTTATTCTCGCATAAACAGCGGCGAAGAAACGAGATTGTTGAACGTTGTTAACTATCACCCCTTCCTTTTGTTTTCCAGGTCCATGTGAACCTGATGATTTTAGAGGCTCGCATGCAAGCAGAACTGCTGTATGCCCTTCGTGCCGTGATGCGGTATATGACCTAAAGCGAAGTTCCGCGTCGCTCCCTCGTTTGTCTGCTGTCTGTCAGTCTGCAGTTTGTCGATTTGTTTTCTCGCGCCAGGCTCCATGCCGTAGACTCGCAGACTTAACTGCGCACGGCATGGAAGGAACATGCGAGCGCGATATCATCGAGTCTTATACAGAACATCGCACACGCTATCATAAGGCCGCTTCATCGTCGACTTCATCGTGAATCGCGGCAATAGCGAGCAATTGCGGTTCTTCAACGAGTTCTGAAAAAAAAGGCGATAACGAAAGGGAAAGAAAAGGAAGATGCTGATTGTGGATGGAGAAAAACAGAAGATCGTAATATTTGGCCATTCAGCTGCGCTCTCGGCGTGATTCTTCGTCCGATGGCGCCTCAATGACGAGACCAACGCGTCCTTGTTCCTCGAGCGGCTTACGAACACATCGATTGCACGTTCCAATTTCGTCTATTCGCGTAATAAAGTATAGCTCACGGCGAATGGAGCGTTTCTCCATGCGTGTTCGGGAGGATCGTGAAGAGGAGATTGTAAAAACAAGAGGATGAGATGGTGCGAACAGACAGGAAGACATGACAAGGAGAGGAAAGATTTATAATTTGTTTTGTACATAGATACTTGTATTTTTCTACGTTCGACATCGTAGCAGACTGTTATTTGTGCGTTTCGTTTACGTTTCAGATCTGTTAAAAAAAAAAGTTTGCTCTCGCCTGTTAGAAGCTTTCGAGTCGCGCTTTTAACTTCACACACACACACATATATACATACACACACACGTACATACACCCTTCTTATTGCGTCTGCAATTTCGACCTTATGCGCGATTCGCCGAAGAAAACACACATCACCGCAATGCGCACTCATATATCAAGCAAGAGAAAAAATTCGTAGCTCCGCGCGAACATTTCGTTTCTCCTTTTGTGCCGGATGGCTTGTTGAGAAGTGGAAAACTAATCATAAGGCTAAATTAAGAAATCTGTTAACTCTAATTCCGTCACCGCGATCTTTATCCGGATCGTTGGGGATCTCGAATCCGATTTGGCTCGACTTCTCCGAATTTTAACTTGTGGCGCACGCCGCCTCCGGTGATATCGGAACGTCGGATTCTCGCGTACGACGCGACGCGCGAACGTCGGGCCAAGAGATCGTCTTTCGCGCTCTGTATATACATATATATGTGTAACGCGTTTTATCTTCATTTTATTTCGACGATCCCTATCCCGCAAGAAAATTGTGGAAGCTAACATAAAATTGTACCTACTTACCGTTCATCATACGCGTGTGTCGAGCAAACCTTAGATTGTAGGACGATCCCGCGGCCGCGTGCACGCGCGTGCGGTAGGTCACGGATACGTTACGGCGCGTGCACGCGGTCGCGGAGAGAAGCAATGCCATCGGCTGTGTTTATTTACCGAGGGATAATGCGTTGCTGTCGTTTTAGCCGAACGCGAGAAGCGTCGCAAACTCACTTTAATCCGTGCACCATCTATAAGCCTAGGCTGCTTTTCCATCTTGAGATTAGCAATGAGAAGTCGCGTTTGCGTCGTGTTTTACGACGAGAGGGAAATTCGCTTGGCGTCTCGAAAGAAAGATCATTGTATCCGCTCTTGTACGACGGCTTACGCTTGAAAAAGGAAGAAATAAGTGTAACTTGGAGAAAAGCGATTCGGGATTATTAGTTCTGCGTGCGCCACCGTAAGAATAGACCGATTTCACCGAGAACACCAATTTCTCGACGCCCGATATTACGCGCGCGCGCGAGGGCGTTTATCAACGAATTTCAATGCCTTCGGCGTAGCGTTTTAATAAAACACTATATAGAAAGGGAGGAAAAAGAAAAAGAGAGGGAGAGAAAGAAAAATAGAAAGAGAGAGAGAAAGCTTGATAAAGCGATAGGAGAATCGCGACCCATGGCTGACTGAGCCCTGTCCCTTTCTCGACGATTGATTGCGATCGTGCGGGGACGCCGTTCGTTCGGTGTCAAAGTGTTGTGTGCGAGGAGGATCGAGGAGAGGCTGTTTAAACAAATCAAATTCTTATAATAGATTGTTAAGGTATACAGACACGCAACACACACACACGTATGCATACACACACGTACATACATATACACGCGAAAAGAACGTGGCACAAAACTATTACACGCGAAATATACGTGTTCTGTGATCGCATATATCTATATATATGTATACACACATACACATAAAAAGCGAATATATATATATATATGTATATATATATAGATACATATATACGCATATTTACGATTAACTCGGCGAAAGAAAGGGAGGAAGAGCGAGAGGGAGAGAGTGTGCGCGTGGCGAGTGCGTATGAAGTGCGCACGTAACTGGAAGTTTGATGATTCTACCTGTAACGTTTGTAATTAGGGTGTCTCTTTATTATATAACTGTACACACACGTGTGCGTGCGTGTATGCGGGCGCGCCTCGAATAATCGATTTATTTGCATGCGCGTTCAAGGATGTGATAATCAGTACTTTGGAACGTAAACTTGTTTTCCGTGAACGATCCTTTGATCTCGATTCAGCGAACGATCGACTATAAGTGAAGCACAGTGAGTAAAAGATCCGCGCCAGAAAAATTGAAATTGGTGGCAATTTCGATAAATTATGATAATTTGAGTCTTGAGGATTTAAAAAAAAAATTTTATTTATTATATATGTAAATATAGAATATGTTCAATATTATATGTATATATGCCCACATATACACATAAAATTTTTATTTAATATATAACAATATAAAGTAAATTCTCTTTTGTATGAAATGTTAGAATTCCATCGTGATCCTATAAACGCGCCGGTTTAAAATCTTATGGACATTTTTGTAATCTATACTTCTATATAGGGTTTAATTAATTACCGCGAATAAATGTAGAGATAATTCTTTCTGCATTTACCGAGATTACACTGATTCCGATTTCTGGCCATGCTCATCTAGTCTACTGATAAGCGACGTTGAATAACGTTTGTCACTCCAGTGATTGATTTATCCCGGTGAATGAAGCGAAGTTGTCCCAAAGTACGATTCCGCGCACGTAAACGCATACGCGCATGCAAGAGAGCACGCATGGATCGTCCGAATGATAATGGAACCAAATGGATAGTAACAGCGAGACCTTCCGACCAACAGAGCGACGCGTTTCCTTTTTTCCTTAGGCGACGTCTCTCCACATATCACACCAAGAGTTTAAAATAGAAAAAAAAGAAACGTTTTTGCGTCGCTTACAGTTTATCTCGCCGGAATGATAGTCGAGTCGGCAGAACCAATAACTTTTTAACGATCAAACTTTTTCTCTCTTGGCTTTGTGTATCTTGCCGTTATTTGCGAGTGGTAATAGAAGAAGGGGTGGCGAAGAAATTTTGCCGACGCGACGAATGCTCGCTAATGACAGTATTTTCAGTTCTCTTTCTCTCTCTCTCTCTCTCTCTCTCTCTTCTTTTTTTAAAAATGATTTCATTTTAGGCTTTACTTTGTAACTCTTTTTAGCTTTCTCTCTCTTTCATTTTCTATTTATCTATCTATTTATCTCTTTTATTCTCTTAATAATTTATACGAGCTTGCTCGCTATCGATAAGCCTAGAGAACTCTGGACAGTGTCTCTTATTTTTTCGCAGGGATGCATATGTCGTTGTTGAATCGTCAGAGATCAAATTGACTATTACATTTGTGGTATCATTTTTTTTTTAATTAGACTCGCGACGCGGGAGCCCGTACAGTTGAAACCAAAGAAATATGCAAGAAGTATCATTGTGATCATCCCGAATTTTAGTAATATATTATCTAATATGTTAACAGGATCAGAAAAAAACGTATTCTACTCTGCACTAATTGCAAATGTTCGAAATGTTTTTTTTTACTCGCGGATGTTTTATGATATTTGATCGCCTTATATGTCCGAATATCTACGGAAAACCAAATTTCTCGCGCGTTTAGTTTGTAAGTCTCATGATTTCCGGCATTCATAATGATTTTACGTAATTTATTTTTTTATTTCGCGTTAAGCGAGAACCTTGATATAGATTTCGATGCGTATGTATGTATTTTCGGCGCGTTATGCAATCACCAATGAGTGAATGTCCATTAATTACCGTAATACGCGTTTTAGAATAATTACATCGCGATGCTCTCAAGAACGAGTACACAACATCTTCGCCGAAGATCTCATCGGCACATCGAGAGCTATGTTAAATTTTCGGATTTTATATAAAACTAATAACAATGTGTTTTTAATACATTTGAAGAAAATTACGTAAGAAGAAATTAGATTTTACTTAAGATTTTATCTATTTAACATGATCCGAAAGGAGCTATGTACTAGAAAATCGTAGTCCTACTTTCCTTCTATTCTTTTTTCCCTTTATTTTCCCCTTTTTGTCTCTTTTAAAAATTTCTGTTCTGCAGCTTTTTCATTCTCGTTTCTTCATTATTTATTTGACACTATCTACCACCTATTTTTTTTAATAACATAGCAATCTTAAGCTTTTATTCTATCTTCAACTATCTCTTTGCTCTCGTTTCTCGCTCAAAAGTTTCGTCATCGTTCGCATTGTTTATTTTACGATCAGCGAAAGAGTATCATGATAAATTAATCGATGTAAGCGAGAGTAACAAATTGCAGCATGTCCGCGATAATCGTATGCGTGGATTGATCTCATAATATATTAATCGCGAGAAAGAGAGAGAGAAAGAGAGTGAGAAGGGAAGGTAAAGAAAGAAAGGAGAAATACGCGCGAGGCTTATAGAGAAACTCGTCGTTGTAACGAGAAGGATGTTGTGAACGACTACAGACGACATTCTGCTCCATATCTTTCGTCTTTGTTCTTTTCTCTTGAAAATTGAGAAACGCGAGAGGTTCTTGTCGAATCTGCACGCGAATGCCGCTGCAGTACATCAGAGCGAATTATAATTTTACGATAATTCTAAGAGGCACGGTATAGAGAGAGAGAGAGAGAGAAAGAGAGAGAATGGGAAAAAAAACAGGTAGAGTGAAAAAGGAGGTACGGAAAAAGTCGAGATTTTTACATAGTAACGATTAAAAGTAGGTAAAAGCAGAGTGTGATCGGACAAGCCAAAAAGTGGGACATCTCTGAGATGAGAGATCTTTGACTTTCACATAGCGAAGGCTATTACTTGCAAACGTCCATCATATTCCTCAAAGATGTCTTTATCACGGGATCATTTGTGCTCTATGTCCGATCGTGCTTTACTTTTCGCCTGACTTTTATTCATTACTGTTTCTCTCTTGAACTCGCGTGGCAGGGCGAGTCGGGATTTCGAGTCGAGTTGATGCCTCGGTTAAGTGTATAGTGAGAATCCTGGAGGTGGACGAACACAGAGAAAGAGAAAAATTGAAAAAAAAAAAAAATAATAATGTGCAAGCGGTGAAGTAAAGGCGTCTTAAGAAAAATAAAAAGAAGGAGCACATATGTGTATATGTATATACTGTATATACATGTATATACATATATATACATATATACATACATATATATATATGTGCGTGTGTGTTGAATCGGCTCTAAACTCGTCCAATTGTCTCGAATGAGTTCAAGTTCCCAGAGAGTGAGAGAGAGTGTATGAGAGAGAGAGAAAGAGATAAAGGGAGAAAGAAGAGAGAGAGAGAGAGAGAGAGAGAGAGAGAGAGAGAGAGAGAGAGAGAGAGAGAGAGAAGTGCACAAGCTGTGCATAGCCGAGAGAATGGTCCACCTCCGAAAGTCACAAAAGCATATTAAAATAGTACATGCCACCGTATCGGGAATGATTGTGTGATAATTACAAGTGATTTGACTAGGCCCCCTCCTCCCCTTTTGGACGATCAAGCAGATTATTATCATTGAAAATGTTTTTTTCGATTGCACATCAATACCTCGGTGACTAGATCTAAAGCGCTGGAAAGATAAGAAGGACACTTTTTATCATTCCACGCTCTAGATTCAAATCCCGAACTGTCAAGACGCGGCTAAAAAAAACATTCTTTGTAATAGTAATTCATCGCTTTCACCGACGAGGAAGAGATTCTGGGAGAGTTGAGTTGGAAGGAAGCTCGTGAAGCTCGCTATAACATCTCGGTCATGTTGATTCGATTAAGCATCGCGGTCGTAGCCTAATCTTATCATGGGCCGACGCGAGCTCGCGATCTTTCGACGAGGTTCATTTAGAAATTCTGTTTTGCGTAGTCTCCGACGATAAGCGAGTTGTCGGTTTCGTCGTGTATCGTTTACGTATTAAGACTCGAACGATCGCCGCCGTACGTGCGGCCGGGGGAGGGGGTCGTATATGATGTGATTTCTTTTATATCATAACAAATAATGAACACTAAGAAATATTATAGTTTCATATAAGTGAGATATGTTATTTGTCATTTATTTTATCCCTTAATAAATGATGTTATATAAAAAAAATAGGCACAGCTGAGACGTTCCCTTATTCTCCATCTTGCCTTATCTAAAAGCGATTCGTCACTGAAACGCGCTAATTCTTTAGTGACATCGGAAGATCGACGATTCCTGCAACATCGATTAGCTGACTGATTTTAATCTTAGTTCAGTTCAATCTTAAATTGAACTAAAATTTAATTTCAAAGATCAAAATGAAATTCGTCGTAATACTCTTTTTTTAGCTACCTTCAGCTATTTCTTAAAATTAACAATTATAGTTTGAAGAGGATTAAGAAGAAGACAATAATCGTCCTCTCATCGTACATTTATTCGCCGGCTATCAGCATATTACAGCACACGTTACATGACACCAAACGTCTAAAGTTGTACTCGATTAGCACTAACGGTTACTCACTCTCAGCCACATTTTGCATAAAATAGTCCCATTACGAATCTCACTACTGCTTTCTTCGCGGCAATATTTACAGAATACTTTGCGTGTATAATTACACCATAGACAGCCTCTTGTAAAAAGAGAACGCATTTACAGAGCGTGTCTAAACATTGTTCTGTGCATGGATCGAACGTTAGATTTCGTGCGAGAGTAGCGTGAACATGCTGGAAGAGATATCGGTGATCGCCATCGTAGATATACCTGGATGGTTTGGTTCTACGGGCGTAGGACGGAAGGGTTGTTCATCGTCTGTAGTTAGATTCACCATCTGCATATTACTCTCTCGATCGAACTGATGTCGATTAAATTAAAATTGGGACGTAAGGATGCCATGGACTTCTGTTTCGCAATGATGGCTTCGCGACAATTGAAGACTCGGCATGGAAAGAAATCCTATCGGCTAAAAATAAAAGATCTCAGAGCTATTTTACCGGATAAGTTTTACTTATTTCGAGAAGAGCAAAGTAGAAGAGGAATATGAAAAAAAATATTCCTCTTCATTTTGCATATCATATAAATTGCACTTATATGCTTGTGCAAGATCTCGGTATAATAACTTTTCAATAAAAATATAATTTTAGGGATAAAAAATTTACGGTCCATTTGCGTAAAGCATTCATTTGTTGCGTTGAAATCGTGAATGTCGCTGTGAAATAGCATCGACTTTTTTTAGGTACTTAACTCGTCGACTTTGATAACGTCGATCTTGCTCGCATCATATCGAAGAAAATTTCCTTCCGTGAGGCTTCCAAGAATTAATATGCATGCGAGCTGGTCGTAACTTTTTAATTTAAGATTTTTCTCCGGTATCCTGATAGTATTAAATCACGTTACCTCAACGTATTTGAATACTTTCTAAAGTGGTGAATAAAGCGGCGAACGCTTTGCCTCAGAACGATTACACTGTCCCGCGGATTGATTAATCGTACAAAACTCGCGGCTACGAGAAAAACCACTTTAGAACCACCGTTATACCGTTTTATCAATTAAGTTCGGTATATAGCGTCGATCTCTCGACGGATTTATCAAATGTGCGGAAAAGCGGCGCACACGTTGCTTTACAGACTTACGTTTAAGATCTTTCTTCGTAATCGCGCCAACGATGAATATTTTGTCAATATTGTGCAAACATGTCTATTGGGTGAACTCCGACACTATCGACGGAAATCAACAAATCGATCGCAATTGCTTTTCGCGAGATGCGAGACGCTTTGTACTTGTTCCTGATTACGATTACAATGTTTCCAACGGTATTGGTCTTGCTAATAATTCTAATTGCCGTCATAGTCGTGCGGCGGTGCGTGATGATGCATGTGGATGTGTGGAGGCAGTTCGACTACGGGTACGGCCAGGCTGCTTCTCTGTAATACACAGTCACAATTATATAATGATTAAGTAATAATTACGTGGGGGGTAACATCATAGCAGACGCACAGATAACATGCCTGTGATGTGAAATTTACGGAAATCGAAATATATTTCAGATAATAGGAAGCCGGGTTTTTTGTATGTAATTTTACTAATGTCTTAAATCTTAAATATCGCGTTTTATAAGTTACTTTATTTTATTATTTAATACGATTGAATTTTTTTGCATATTCCATCTCCATTAATTTATCTATCGGCGATTTATGGAATTTTGACGATTTCTCGGTTTATGTAACTTCGGCAGCTAATAAAATTAATTGCTTAAAGCGCTACAGTTAAGATTCAATTGGATTCCACTGAACCCTTTAATCTCTTCAGTAAAATCTTTATCTTGCAGTACCGAATTAATCGCAAGAAGGAATGAAGAGATAATAAATTTCGTACCCATCCCTGACAGGAAATAAATCCGCTTACCGGATACACGTTAATTAAAGAACATTTGAATGCAATTATGAGTTTAATGAACGTGGGAGCACAAAAAGCTCGGTGAATATAAAATATAATTGAATAACGATATGGCGGAGAAGGAGATATTTCTCTTTCGGCAAAATTACGATATATAAAATTGATTTCGGATGAAGGAAACCGTCAGTTTGAAGAAGAGATGATTAAAGAATACGCTCTTACAGCAGCATTTATAGTCTGAACTTATATTTAAGATTAAGTCTGGTCTTCTTAAGTTTGGTCTTCATTACTTTTAAAGCTCGATTCAATGAAATGACCGTATAGCATCTTGAGATCGCACTTAAGACGTTCTTATAAATATAAGATCGGATTATGAGTATCTCAGGCTCTTTTTTTACCATTGTTCTTAAACCTCATCTAAAAAGAAAAAAACATATTGTGTTCGATATTGCCTTAGATCGTGGATTCTTAATTGGAATTTGAATTTTCACGATAGATAGAATCACAGGGCAATTCTCGAATAACTATAGAACTTAATTTATGTTTCCTTATATTTTGGATAGGGACAGTTCAGGTAAATTTTCATTTATAAAAGATGCTTGTATGTGTTTTACGAGTGTATTACATTTTATATATTATTGTTTTTTATTGTATTTTACGAGTCATTAATTAGAAAAACGAATAGCTTTATTTAATTCGTGTTAATATATCATGAAAAATATACGCGTCGGCTTGTAGATTAATGCTAGCGCGATAAATTAACGAGGGACGAGACAGTTGTTATATACCTGGGACCTCATCCCGTTTACGGGAGTGGCAGTGGGATTGTCCGGCGGGTAGCCGATCACGTGCGTAGAACATTTGTCGCAGGTACGCCGTCGTCGGGACGACGCGCGGCAGCGTAAAGCGCGGCAGAGCTCGCGTGCCATTTCCGAGCAGAGCGACTCTTGTTGATTCGGTTGCTGCTGATGTTGCTGCTGGCATTGTTGTTGCTGCTGCTGTTGCACAGTCTGAGAAATTCCCTGAAGAGAGCCGGAGGTAGGCGTCGGAGGGACCGGAGGCCTTTGCTACATCAGCAGCCCACAACGACGAATTATTCGCGTGATTAAGGTATATCATGATGCAGAAAAATGTTCCAAAATTAGCGAGAAGTGAATAAGTAACATTCTTCCTTGTAGAATACTTTTCAAACTGTAAATTATTAAAGGAATACAAAAGCGAAGATAAATAATGATATATTAATTGTTAATGTGGACTTTATTTTGACAAAATTACGTAACTTAAAGGTAACTTTTATCAAAATATCAAATTTCAACATTTGTAGAAAAGATGATCAAAAAATGAATTCTAGATTTTTACTTTCCGCTAATATCGGGGCATCTTGTATTATATAACGTACAATAGCGAATCATCAACGATACCTTGCGATACACGCATATTATTATTTAAATATAATGCTTAGATAAAGATTGCGAGTTTGTATTGAAGCAAACGAATTCGTAAGAAGTTCTCACGATGGTAAAACGGACCTTTTTTCGCAACTGTGCTTGGGGATGCTTGCGAAGTCGAGCGGCATGCTTCAATGGACGATGAGCTCATGCTGATACGACGAAATCCATGATGTAGCGATGAAACAAAGTTCAGGGAACGTCATGCAATGCTTACGCGTACAGTCACATGCACATCTCTTAAAGTTAATAGTTTTAACGATTAACAAACAAAGCGACGAAAGGCTTGAGAATTAAACGCGGCCGGTCGCCTTTATCGAGAATCTGAATGTCGACGAATAGAGTCGTGCAACGTGAACGTGCTGATTTGTTGAAATAAATTTCAGCACTGGTTTCTAGGATCGATGCACTCACCCGTTCTGCCGGTGCGTTCCTCCTGGAATTGTAGCAGAATTCGAAAATCGCTATAAGCACGGCAAATGCCAAGCCGCACAGTAAGACCACGAAAACTCCTCCTGCACAGAAACGAGGCACATCGATTCTCGATCAGACGCATAAGGTATCGATAGATAATTTTAAGAGAGAAATAAATATTTCTATGCGTATAAATTAAATAAACAAATTTAAAAAGAATATATAAATTACACGTACACATAATTCGAATAATTTATTATAGAATTCTACTGAAAAGTACATATTTAAATTTACATCAGAGACATTTGTTTTAAGATTTTCTGTCAATCAAACAGCGCCCTGCCCCTTAGAAAATTTAATTAACAGTCTTTTTCATAAGAATAATGAACCAACAAAAATAAGGAAATGTTTGCGACTGTAAGAGGGATTTCCGTGTGTTATATGACATTACGGAGGAAACTCGTGATGCGTATAATTCAGAGTTTACGCGCTATTCTCTGAGAGCCTTTCTCACCTATGTTGTCGACGCCTAGAGCGTTGGCTTTGTTCTCCTTTCCCTTTTCTGTCCTCATGCAAGTATCCCCGGGACTCTTCCACCATTTGTCATACAGAATCTGTATTTCGCCTTTCTCTTGCAATTCCAGAATTGCTAGAGATATCTTGTCCCGCCAGGGCGAGCCTGCGAAATTTGTTCAGGAATCAGCGCTATTAAGTAGATGTAGCAAGCAATATTTACGCAATTTATTTTTATTTTAAATTAAAATTATACTTTTTATTCGCGCGATAGTATCAAGTAAAAATACAGCAATTTTATTCTTATTTTTAAAAAATTATAAATTATATATGATTAAATGTACAAAAACCTGGAAGTTGAAATGGATGTTTATTTAACAATATCAAATTAAAAACAATTTTGGATTTATCAATTGTACACTGTTCACTTTTAACAAAATATTGAAATTGTTTTTTTTAAGTATTAGTGCTGCTCGATAAACTATAAAACTATTACAAATTGGATTGTGAAAACTAATGAAATTTGGAAGTAAAAGCAAATATTGATCAGCGTAACAGCTCACCCATGGGCGTAGCGATTCCATATCCCTTGTTGTCCAACAGACCACCAATTTGCGTGAGATTGCAGTCCCTCTGGACAATGTAATCGATCATGGTCGACTCCATCAGAAAGGCGTAATCGCCTTGAAGAACTCGCTGGATACCCTCTTCATATGTTGAAACGAATACCGACGGCTTCTTGTTCTCCATGAATCTCCACATCTTTTTGTACGTCTCGATCATTGAATCCTTGAAACGGAATTTGAGAAGCGCAGAAAATCAGATTTTATTAGCGTCATAATGCAACATTATGATAACCGCCGTTTACGGCAATGGCTTGCATTATAAATTTCGCATATTGATAAATATTATTTCATAATTAATTGCCAGCGGAAAATTTCTACAAACTGGCACGAAAGACGCGACCTGATTAAAATTCCATTCCCGCGTGAGCGGAAGCGATTATCATAATAATTGCAAAATAATTATTTTCGTATATCGATTGCGCGGTTGTATCGCGCGCGATCATTACACGGTTATTTACAGGCCATAAATTGGATACGAACTCATGTAATCGTAGAAGCATTAATGTAATACAGGGTTGAATTTACATATGAACTAAGCGAACTACAGCCTTCGCACCATTAAAGAGCATACTTTTTAAATATTTTTATTATAGGATAGTGCGAAAGAAAAATATCTTCTCCATATCATATAGCTTTGCGACAGATTTACATTTACAGGTTGTATAGGGTAACATTATAGAGATATAATTATACGCTATAAACCTTGCTTGATCAATCAGAAACTTATATACGGAAGCACATATCAAAGTATGTTGTAGTTATCGAGTATTAAGGTAACAAAGATTCGGCCTCGGTGAAACGCATACTCCCTCGTCTTCGCCAACCGAAGGTTGGTAGCAGTGCAGTCGGGAGAATTAGTACTAATAGCATAACATTAATTAGTGGTAAATAGATATTAGTAACTATTACTCTACCATCTATTCCAAATAGATAATAAAAATATTAGTCACCCTGAAAAAAGTCATCGTGCTTCCGCTATCGAGAGTTCCGTACGCGATGTCCGTCTGACTGGCGAGATCTTCGGCGTGCTCTATCGGCGTGATCATTCTTTCCACCGTAAGGAAAGCCGCTAGATTCGCGGTATACGACGAGATGATGATCAGGGTGAAGAACCACCATATGCCACCCACAATACGCGTGCTCGTAGCCTGATAAAGAGATCACTTCATCGAAATTCGGTTTAACAATTAGCTTCATTTACCGCTGTTAGCTTCGTATTAATTTTACTGCAAGCGATGATACATGTATTGTAAAATTGATTAGTAAAAAATTTTATTGTCAATATTGACTACCGTCTTGCAATCTAATAGCACAACTGCAATCTCTCGTAATAACGCCTTTAAATTTGTTAATTCCTCGTTACGCTGAAAATACTTCGATACTCCTTTTTACGTTCTTACTGTATCTTTCAGGCGTTCCAGGGATTAACGCGTTTCATTTTCGTTGAATAGGAGATTCTCAGTATTTGAAAACTAATTCAAAAGCTGAAGTCTGCAAATGAAAGCTAAAGATTTCTCAAATAGGAACGTTCGCGCTCCTTGTCGAGAAAATTGCGAAGCATTATCGCGAAGATATTTGATAATAAAGTATTTCAAACAGATAATCACTTTAAATTATTAATTTGATTTAGAGGCAATGGGCGTTATTAAAATAGAAATTTAATTTAATAGTTATTATAGTTTTAGGTCATTTGCATTGTTTCGATTATTAATATGAAATGATATATGAACTATGTAACTATTGTTCATGATGCTCTAATGGACGCTTGAAACGAGAATCCGTTATTACGAGAGTTATTCATGAATTATTATGTCTATTATATTATATATAGATGAAAGCGGTATTAATGAGCTTGTTTACGAAGCAAATTAAGATGATTTACATAATATCTTTATAATATACATGCTGCACATATAAGAAAATCAGTTTCGCGCAATATACGCGTTTATACACAATGTTTGATAGATACAGCGGAAATTCATCGCAAACCTTGGGGTTTAGATCGCTGCCCTGTTGCATGAGGGTTCCAATGGTGAACCAGAAGCTGTTCGATAAGGAGAACTGATTCTCGACGATTTCCGGCCCGGGGTGACACGGATGAGGATTATTCCATTCGTAGGGGCTAAATCGCGACACGACAAACATCGTCACCGACACCAAAACGTACGCTGCCAGAACGTACAGCCAGATTTCGATCGCTAATGGGTTCATGAAAGAAAAAAGCTGCGCCTGGTGTTTGGTTGGTACCTGCAAGGAATTTGAGCCTTTAACACCTCGTCGTTTGCAATGCGATACTGAAAATATTCTATTTTTCTAAGATATTAGAAAAGTTTATTCTTTTACGCATTCACGCACAGGACATGCATTATTTCGTTTTCACATATCAAGAATTTACTTAATATTTGAATTGAATTACTTACACTAATATATTTAAATTGAAACTTAAATAGCCGTATTAATAACTAATTAAATTTATCGCTGGAAATTGTTATGCTCAATTTGTTCTACTATTTACCCGGTATTTTATTTTAATGATCAAATGCACCTCTCATTATTATATGCATAAAAAGGAGAGAAAGGGAATATCTGTGTATGAATATTAAGCTTAATTAATTCTGCATCGGAACGATATGCATAATAATGAAGGTATTTCTCATGGATATTTTAACAATTCTTAATTAGCCACGAGTTATCTTAATTTACATTAAACGTAATATCGTGAAATCGATTACTCTACTTAATATAATATCCGGAATTTACTTTATAATTTTCACATTGAGATTATTATCCAATTTTCGTTGCTTTTATAGTATTATACTTGTATATTTAATCGTTCTGGATATTTTATGGAGCACATTTTTTACCACTTAATTATTACTATCAATGCAAGAAAAATTTTTCGATACTCACAATGCACTAGATAGTGGTATGATATTTATTTATCAAGTCGAATTTATCAAATTTATATATGTCATGAATATTGCGAATTTGGACAATGGTAAACGCGTAAAAATATATATGTAATACATTTACGGAATACAATAGATCGAAAATAGATAAAATCGATTATTGGACCATTGGGCTGTCAGTACATCTGTGTTAGTTGATATCGATCTCGGCGATTTTTTTTCACGGCGGTAGTTACTAAATGCCTGGCGTCGAATTCTTCGTTTTTCACCTTTGCACGAGTGGAATTGGCTAATGTAAAATTTAACTTGCTCTTGATAGCAGATGTTGATTCCGAGAAAATGAAAGAACAGCGTAGCAAAAGGTACTAATTGTAAGTACTATCATTGTTAGTGGCAACGACGAAAAGAAATAACAAGATCATCGTAAAAGTATTGTAATATCCGTATACATGAAGAATTCATAATGTTAGCAATTAATAAACTGATTTAGAATATTTCGTACTCGATAATTGGAATAGTGATAGATCGTATAGCGAGTGTGTGGAATTCGATGGATAAGTGGAGGAATGATTAAAGGATATAGCTTTGGGAATAGAAACAGCTACCGGCTGCTGCAACATTAATTGCAATTAAATGATCGCCTTACATTAATTAGAAAGCGCTCTCGTGCGGTCAACGGCGATTGGTGTAATCAGCGAAAAGAGGCCGCGCGCCTCCTCGCTCTTGCATTTACCGGAGGAAAATCCCGCTCGAACGGAAACGAGTATTCAGCCCGCATTGAAAGGCAAGCTATCATCGTCAGCGCGGCGAGAGAGCCTTTCGTCGTTTTAATTAATTTAGAGATCCACTTATCCAGAGGATTTTTTACGCCTTTTGATAAAAATGTAATTGTATAGCGAAACTATTCTGCGAGCTAAGTAATTCGTTCGATCCGCTTTCGATTATAATTATATTTGCAAGCAATTAATTTATCATCCCGTTGTCGTGTATCATGATCGATGATTGTATCTGATATTAATATCGATTTCTTAACAAAGTACTTGAGCAGAGATTTTTAAGGATTCTGTCAAGTGTAATACGTAGTCTATAATTAATCCTGCGGCGAATCGCGATGAAAGATTACCACGTCACTGCCGCTTGACTGCATAACGGTGATTTGCTTAATTATCTTCATTATGCTGTTGGCTTGTGCCATCGGGAACTAAGGCGAACAATTTCATTTCGAAATTCGAGAGCATTGGCATTGTGGATATATCCTCAAAATACATAATGCATTTGGCATTGTAATTACTGCTTTCATTATAATTATTCGTGATAATATGTAAAACTGAAAGGGTTTACATTATATAGAAAGAAAAACACGATAAATTCCTGGATAAGAGCCTGGCGTTTCTTTTCGGAATCCTATAGAGAACTTGAGAGGCTATATTTTGCCAATTTCCCAAGAAATATTTTTTTATGATTTAAGTTATGTAAAAAGGGGTTAATATATCTAGATAAAATGACTCAAAGACGTCATAAATTAAGATATAAGACGACTTGAAAACATCATGATGACATCTCTTTGACAGTTCCACAAGATATCTTAATTAGCCATGTTACACACGTATTCTAAAATTAATAAATATCAACATTGTCAGTAATATAAATATCTATACATAACCCAAATAATGTCTTATAAAAGATAATTTCCAGATGTTTTTTTTTTTCAAAAAGTTTTCAAAACATTTTTAAGATGTCTACTAGTAATGTCTTAAAAACGACACTTTTGAAAAGAGTTTTAGACATGCTTGTTATCTGGGAAAGTCAATTTTTTTATATAGCTTATTATCTTAAAGAATATCTGTTGGTAAATTGATGAAGAATGGTGCGTACACTTTTAGAAACCTCCGTGAGGAAAAAAGTCAAAGTAACATCAATTATAGTCTATCGAGTTATTAATTATCGCAAAGGAAGGATGATTAACTTTATTGATTTTTTACGGAAAAGTTATGTTACCTCTATTATTTATCGATTGACAAATTGCTGATTCTTTAACTTTATTATTGATATAGCAGTCTGATTAGAGATATGTAAGATTATGTATATATAGCAATACTATATACTATACACATGGATGCATATCTGTATAAATGTATTACAGGAGAAAATTGTACTTTCATCCTTTAGTAAATCAAGAGCACAGGCGAACAAAACGAGAGAATAAAAAGAAATTAACAGTGACGAGGATCGGAAATGGTCGTTCTGTAAATTTCATCAGTCCAAACGTCCGACTGGGTTTTCCGCGGGAAATCGAGAAATTAGAGATGAACGAAGGGAAGCGACCCAGATATACAGCCGATCTCGTCGACCGCGCCGCGTCATCGCGAAAATTTTATTACAAAAGCTCGAGAAATTAACTTCTCCATCGGTATCGTTACGTCGCCCGCTCGCGCAATGCCATTATTAACTTCGGAGTAAGCGAATCCCACCGCTGCTCGTTACGGTATAAAGTGCAGCTGGCCGAGAGAGAGAAGTTAACTCCAGCATCTCGAATTATTTAGCGGGAGTCGAAACTTGGAAGGGGGAGAGGGAGGAGATTCCAGTACTGCTGCTTGAATCGATCGAATAGAATTCGCGAGTCGGGAGAAATTCCCGACAGCGAGACACTGCTGCGAGAATAATTAAAGCTTCCCGGAGTGATAAGGTAGAATCGAGCGAAGGAGAGTATAGGGGCAGAGATATAGGAAAAGAGAAGTGGAGAGAGAGAGATGACGGAGGAAGAGGAGAGGTAAAAAAAAAAAAACGACTGAAAGAAACGACTCGTCGAATAAATATCGAATTAATCGGCTCGTTAATTCGTTGCGTCAACCGATACATTCCGATTATTAAACCGTTTACGTGCCGTCACTTGCGAGCGGCTCTAATTAGTCTCTGCTTCCCCCTTCCGCGACCTCGCGACACGTGCTGTACCGTGTTATAAGCGAGATCGTACATGTGCACGTTAGTATACGTGAGTGCATCGTCAAGCGACACGATATTACTATCGCAGCACGATCTTGTAACAGAGTTGGGTTAATAAAGGCTGAATTTGCCAAAGATTGTAAATAATTGGTTGGCATTGTATGTATCACCTGTCGCGTTTTTAAAACGAATTCTAGTTAGCAATAATAACATATAATATGTATCTAGGCAACAATTTTATTTCCAATGAGTTTTATTGTAATTAATACCTTTATTATTGTTGTTATTGCAGGAAAGGATGGGAAAATTATAATTATTTTTAGAATTATCTGTACATATTGTGTAATTGTATAAACAAATGTAAGCGATACGTATCTGGTTTTCATTTAGAATGATGGATATTCGATAGGATTGTGTCTGACAATTACGGTCAGTTACTACTGCGAGATGCGTATAATCGGTAAACTCTCTTACTCCACATATTTTACTAAAACAGTCAATTAATAGTTGAGTGTACGTACCACCTGCATGTAACCCCTTATAATATGTGGTATTTGCACCCAACTATTAATTGGCTGTTTTAGTAAAATATGGAGGCATTATACAAACGTGACCATTGCCAATGGTCCACGGTTCACGGGCAAGTAGATAAGAACTAGTTATGGTCGGCCAGCGCGCCAAAATCAGACCGAATTACAGCCGTATGCGGATAGCGGCCCTTACTTCCCATTACTGACGTCAATTTACTTAGACAAAATTATATCTCGCGCGGTTAAAATCACCTCGCGTTTTTATTCCGCTTTTTTTTTTCACCGTCGGATACGCGGCTGAAGAGAAAGGCAAACAGGGAAACAAGAAATGTAAAAATATCGATAGAGATATTATTCACGATACGGAAACTTTTCAACGATATCGCGCGTTGATTCTTGGGTGTGGGCACGTTCGCTGGCTGCCAAATAAAAATGGTCTAACAACAACAGATGGAGTATACGACGGCAAAAAATAGCAAATAAGAATAACAGATGCGCGGCGCGGAAAAATACACGAGGGACGAGGGAGGGGAAAGACCAACAAAGCTGGAATCCGCCTCGGCAACAATGCACCGGGACGTGGACCAACGTGGACGAAATAAAAATATGAGCTATCAGGCTAACGCCATTTCGCGCGTGAACCGGGAGATTAAGCGGCAGGCTTATACAGGGTAACTTTAAATGCCCCGCGTCCGAGCTGGACGCGGATGCAATTGCTACCCTGTAACGCGTAAATAAATTTTCGCGTTTAACTCGCGGCCTCGCCGGGCTCTTGCTTACCTTGAAGAGAATCGAGATGCCCAGATTCATGAACGGCTTCGTGAAGTCGATGACGCTCTCGCGCGCGTAGTTGATTGTCATCGAGCCGACAGCGAGATCAGCTTTCTGCGAAATGAGAGAATAAGATAATGAAGGGAATACGTCGATTAAGAATCGAATACGAAAGACACAAACACGTTAATTCTAATTTATTTCTATCCTGTTCCAAGTACGGGCGAAGAAGACGCAGATTCTGCAGCGCTGCGAAGCGAAGCTACTCTCGACTCCGTCCACTTGGTCGCCCGTGCTCGGCAGGTGTTCGAGATTATTTAGACACGCGCGGCAAATGGAATAGCTGACTTGGCAATAGCCGACGAGCGAAACGCCGTTCCGGATTCAATGAGGCCACCCGAAGAAAAGAGCTCAACGCGCGTACATTTGCCCGCGATATCTAACTGCTTCTTCAGCGTCTGCGAGAGAGCACTCGCTGGGCGCGCGCGATGGCGCACCGTGGAACGGCGGCACACACAGTCCGTCGAGATTTATTTCCGGCTTGCGCTGCACACCGGGAAGCGCGGGATATCTGGCTGGAAATGCGCGTTCCCCGATAGGGAAATCCCCCCGATCTTTTCTTCACGTGCGCACCCGCCTATACTCTGTCTCCACGTACGGCGACGTTACAAATTTTCTGTAAGCTGTGCAAACGCGCACGGGGAATTCTATTGCGCGAAACGTGTGCGAAACACAATTTACCAATTTTTGCCAATTCTTCATATTCGCGAATGATACATTTTACATACGCGGAATGATACGTAATATCTGATGTTTTACGTTCTCACATATTTATTCCGGAAAGTCAAAAAACTATCACATCAATCGCAATAGACTTTAATCGAGAAACTTCTCCTTGTTTTTCGTACATTCTAATAAAAAATAGACACAAATATTTGAGCATATTTTTTTTAGGCAGCGTACAATATTCTCTGAATATTCATCTCGTATTTTAATAATTTTAATTTATAATATTTGATGAATCCCGACGATAAATAATTTCATATTTAATTATGAATGTAAAGTGAGCTTTGTTGATTCCAATAATGTAAAATAATAATTTGCAATTTCGCTTTCACCCAAAAACTCGATACATTTTACTCGATAAATATATATTACCGCGTATTACGGGTCGTCTATAGTTAAACCGTGAATGGGGAATGCTCGGCGATACATCTCACGTATACAACGCCGGACAGCCGAAATGGTCGACATCGACGTCGCGTAAAACGATGCCCGGTTCATCCCCGTGAAAGATATTTCGGACTGGCGGCGTCACTAATTCGCGCGTGATTTACGCCACCGCCCCGTGCGCGACCCATGGATGACGGTCGCAATAATTTGTTGTTGCGTGTTCTCGCGCGATGACAGCCATGGCGCCATTGCGGACCCGCGCGATGCATCGTTGCCGTCAATCGTTTATGAATGTACATACGAGCGAATGCAGGGTACGCGGCGCGATGTGTCGAACGCGTCGAGGGAAACGTGAATGCGAGGAGCCAGTTGAAGCTGCAAGCGGAGATAATGTACCGGAAAAGGGGCGATATCAATTTTACATGGAGATTATGGAGACGCGAGAGTGTGTGTCCGATATATTTTTACCCGCGATATATTATATGTATATATGTATGTACATTGTTTATTTAATATTGAAGATCACTTTTGTCGATTAATAATTTTCATGACGGTGGTGATACATCGCGAACGAGCTTCGTTTTTCATTTCATTCATTCATTTTTGAGCCGCGTTACCTTTTCCCGTGCGGCCCGACAAACGATATCCCATTTATCAACTGCGCTCAGATAAAAATGAAATATCGATGTGTCATTCTTTTCAAGAAAATCCACGCGAGGGAAATTAATATCTCGTGTAACGGTATTTTGCATATTTTCGCAATCAATGAATACTCCAAAACTTGTTGCGTTAAATTGCAAATTAGTACCATGCATAGAAAAATTTTTCGTAAAATAATATTTCTATATATTTGAAATGTTTTTCCAATAATATTCTCGAAATACGATCACTCGCTGAAACACGAATATCTGGGAAAAAAAAGAGAACTTAGTGTGTAACATGAGAGAACTTTTTTTATATTATATTGTAATATGCTGATTAAAACATCGCTAATTAAACGTGGGTTTCCGATTAATTATCGATTTGACATTCTTGATTGCGGATGTTCTCGGAAGAGGGTGATATGCTTAACTATATGCGTAAGTCGCTAAAATACGATGCCGCTTCTCTAGGCATATTACGTGCGCTTTTTCATCGTCATTTTTCCATCCTCGGTTTCACCATCGCGCTCTCGGGCTCGCGACGACTGCGGCGAGAGGCGAGGCGAGTATTATTAATGATCATCTGACGAAATTAATACTGCCGTCCGGATAACATAGTGCCGGTCGCTTTGTAACGTCCACCGGTCTGCGGGCCCCGACGAAAATGAGAAATTTCGCGGACTCTCATATCGCGATTCCTCATATAATTCCAAGAATTCCAGCTCATACGCGCGCGTTTATACCTTATTCGTTACCGTATCGCTGATCGCGTTATGTTTAATACATTCTAAAATCTCTCGTGATATTAGGCCATTCGTAACTGTAATTTTCCTGAAATTAAAACGTGATTATTCCACCTGCGCTATCGACGCGGCACGCGGTCCTTGAACCAGCATCTCCTTTAGTGCCCATCTACAATAGGTGTTTTAAGCCCTAAACCTTAAGAAATTGTTCAATCATAGTTGAATTTGAGGAGAATAATTGACTGTGATTGGTCAATTTCTTAGGGCTTAAGGCTTAAAACACATATTGTAAACGGGCACTTAATCTTTGGTTATTTCGTACATAGAATATTATTTCGTTAAATTAAACCGAGGTCATTTTCGACTCACTGCGTATCTTGTTACCCGTTTGATAAAGCTGCGAGCTTCTCTCGTCGCTTTACATTATATATAAAAGTGTATGTGTGGAATTAATTATTTCTATACAGGTGCATTTAGTTTCTGTTATGTACGCACACACGCAGGGATTTGTACATTATTCATTGTGATAAAAGTGCGCCCCTTGTGTTCCGCAGCAACCGGACACTGAATTCAATCCCGAACTTCGGGGATTTATGGCGAAAGTAGTTCTCCGGAATGTAGATATCGCTGCCGGGATACTCGCCTCATTACATCCTACTTAGAGTTCTCCCCCCAAAAACGCGAGTGCGCCTTTAAGAAATGTACCGAGGGAAAAATGCGCGTGCCACGAAAAACGAGAAAAGCGGTTTTCCCTTAGTTCTTTCCCTTCAAAAAAAATTCGAAAATCTGTGAAATATAAAGATCGATATGCCTATTTTCGAGGGAGAATTGTCAATTGTCACTATCTCGTTTAGAGGGAGAGTTCTAGTATTGACAAAAATCTCTCAAGATAACAAATATACGAAAGCAACATCTAAATTCTACATTTCTTTACTGGTGCAATTAATACATTTAGACTATCGTGATCACCGTAATGCGGGTGTACGTATACGATGATACACACTACACGTGCGTTTAACTCCGGCTTTGACGCCAAAGGTTTTACCTGCGTAACCTCGAGCTCTCTTTTACGCGATGTGCTATTATCTTTGCATTGCTGGTGCCTGTTGGCACGAGGTGTGTGCGATTGACATTGTTATCACGGCGTCGCGCACAGCGTTGCCGTTGCATCTGCTACAAACGTCAGCGGGATATTGAAATTCGGTAGAACGGAATTGCGCGCGTATGCGGCACTTAATCAATCGCCTGGCGCGCGCCGATGTACGCTACTCTGAAATGTAGACGCAGCGACGGGCGACGACGCAGCAATACGTACGCGGGCTAGTTTCACGCTTTCCTCTGGTAGGAATGCGAGGTGTCGCCCGTATATATGAGCTTCCCCCGTCTCGCATCTGTTCGTGATTTGAATTGCAAAAGGGAAGCGACGCATCAAGCCGCGCGTCTAAGCCTATACGCGTTCAGCGCAAAGTGCACGGTGGCGATTTGCGCTCGCGCCTATCGCCAGCAAAATGGCACGGTCTCATCCCCATCTATCGCGGCACATCCCGCCGTTCGTAAGTAATCCCACGTGTGCAACCATCAATTTGCATGATTAACGCACGCGTGGGATGTTACCGATACAAACGGCAGGTTATTTGACCCGATTCGAAATCGGTGCGGCAATTCGCATATGATAAAAGGAGAGCCGTAAGTAAATTTTGTGCGGTATGTTCCTGTGGATTTCTCGGGAATAATGCCTGTACGCGCGACGCTACGCATATCTCCTGCGGGATTACATCTCTTCACAAACGCCGATACACCTGCTCTCCCTATCTCTGTTGAAATTTGCTTAACTACTCTTTGTTGCATCTATTATCGCTTATCATACTGTCTCACTGCGCTGGGAGTCAGCAACCTCTCCAGCACAGTATAGACCGCGCACACACACAGTTTCCGTACATAAATTACATCGCCGTGTATGTACGCGTTAGCTGACGGCGCCCTTTCATCCCGAAAGTTCCCCGATGCCGTGGTCGCAAGAATTTTTCGTGCACGCTTGTTAACAATAAATTATAAAATTCCTATAAGAGGAGATGCAAATTGAAGGATTTAAAATGGTCAAATTCTAAAAAAATTGAATATTATTTATGACAATTGTTATAGTTCGCACGAGCAGACAGTTGAACTTCCTTAGTCCCAACAAGGGTATATATACGTCTCCTACGCGTTAATTCGAGCCCGCTGCACCGTTGCGCACGGACCGCACACACTCACCTTGTCCATCAGCTGGCGAACTATCCCGTTCCACTCGCCGGTCTCGTAATCGTAAACGCCATACTTGCCATCCGGCACGAGCTCGATCCTGTAGGTGAAGCCCACCATGCGCGCTATCTCCTTCAGCAGGTCGATGCAGAAGCCCTCGTAGCGCGTGTTCCCGCTGAAATTCCCCCCGCTCTTCAGCATTACATACGGCTGCTCCTACGGGGATCATAAAAAGGAGCGCTACCGTCTTTTGCTTTCGTCTCTCCCTTCGCTGGATCTCGCCCTGCGATTCCTTTCTCCCTATCTCTTTTCCTATCCTTCGTTCGTCTCCGGTCGCCAGTTCTCCCGCCCATTTTGTTATCCCGCATTCTTTTCATGGGACACCACTACCGCGTCGTATCTATCGATATGGTCGACAACAAGGTTCCGTGAAAACGATAAGGCGCTCGCATGTTCGTCATGGGAATTTTATACGGGCGGAATGTAAATCTTTTTTCCTTCTTGGCAAGGGTCGCGCGTGGAGATCAAGTTTTGCAGTTTCGGTCTGAGTTCAAGAGGCTTAGGGAAATTTTAGGGAGTCGTTTTACTTTTCCGTCGAAAGATACGCCCTGCAGATTTAATTAAAGAACATGTGGACACATTTCGTTATTATATTAGTATATTAGATTTGTGTTAGCTTACCCGTTTAGTTTAGTGATATGATTGGTAAGCCGAATAGATAAAAAAATATTTATATTTTTGTTATAAGGATATTTGTAACCTTATGCGTACAAAGATGTGTGTAAAGATCTATCAAATTTCGAACGACGTGATGCAGCGAGACGCGTAACGTCTACTAAAAATTATCCGTGTTTTTCGCCGACGCGACACCGAAATAACATCTATAAATTTCGCATAAAAGTGACATCGCCGTGTTTACCGAAGATTTCCGAGATACCATATGTAGACCGTGCGATAGCGGATAGTGGATCTATCCGTAACGGCGTGGACAGCTTTAATTGGTATTTACGACGACATACCGGGCCTGGCAAATGCACTTGCCCTGACGCGCGCGTGTCCGATGGCTCTCTCGATGCTGATTACCAGCTAAATGGATTACTCTTCGATAGACTATTACACCGAACACTCTCCCACGAGATGCGTTCTGAAAGCGTAACTGCGTGTCGTAGGCCTCGGAGACTCAGGTGCGAGAGGCCCGATTAACGTGCGTGATGTTACATCAGCTAGACGATATAGCTTGCCAAATAAATCACACGAGTAATGTTGCCTTATATCGTCGTTTTACTGGTAAAAAAGTTAGAAATAGCTTCAAATAAATATTTATATAATTTTCTGATGCATGTTAAACGCATTAATAATCGAAACAAAGAAAATTTGAAATAAGTTGATTTCTTTCAAATTAACAATTTATAACTTTTGATTGATGCATGGAATTTTCCTGTTCTTCGTACATGATAACAAATCTCATCTAGCATTGTCACATAACAAAAAAACGTAGGAAACTTCTCATCAAATTCAGAATGTGTATCTCGCGTGCAGAAACGGTGGATTATATAAACATTTGATAAAACGTTGATACGAATAATCGATCATGTTGGAGTAACGCCGGGCGAATACAGGACAGCGAGAACGAGAAAAATTATCCGAAGAATTCCGATAATTGCGCACGTATGGGAGAGGCGAACGTACAACGAGCGAGAGCTTTCGTTCTACCGGGCAAATATTATTCTCACGATGAATAAGTGAAAATATAGACAAAAAGATGCTATACCTCTCTCTACCCACAGGTGCGAGCGTTATCGCGCGGTCGTCGTATATTCAGGTGTGGCGAGCCGGAGGTCTAGGTGCGCGCGCGCGGGGGTCTAGATTTAAATTTAAATTCAAATCGGCTTCTTGAAATGCAATAAAGTAGCTTCACTTCATGAAGCTTTTCGCCATTTTAGATGAAAATGGGGCCGGTGACTGCGCCGCGGCGGAAACGCGAGAGATTTAATTAGAGGGTACGCCGAGCGCGGATTTGGTATTTACGAGCTGCATATGAGAATTTCGACCGGATTAACTGCATACTGCCTATACACAGAATTTAGAACGCATTAATTAAGCTGCGTTAAAAAGCGGCGTTTTAGAAAAAAAGAAAGAGACGGGAAAAAGAGAGCGCGTTAATTGTTCAACACATTTTATATCATTTTATAACATTTTATAACATTTTAAATTATTAATATTTTTATCCTCGACATCCCCGTTTATTTAATATTGTTATCTTTGTGACACGGGATTCAAACGAGAGAGGCGAGAACGCACACATATTTCATTCGTATGCTGTTTGAGGTTTTACATCCGTTTGTAAAAAATTGTTATGCATACGTATACATATACATATGTACGTATACATATGCATGGAAAGAACTGGAAAATTCAAACGTAAGATTTAATCCACATAAGTTGCACGAATGCGCGCACGAAAACAATAATAAAAAATTAGCATACATACGTAGTTGTAGGAGTAAAAGTCTTAGCAAGAGAAATTATTTCTTGCGGGATGGATTCGTGCGGCAAATATTTATCGTAATTCGACTTCGTATTCGACGTAAAGAATACGAAAATATCGCGTGAAACGGAGAAGTGACTTGACTTATCGTACGCGTGGATTAAGAGAAGACGGATTTAACAGTCGGCGCGTTCATGAATAATTACTTAATATGGCACACCTCCGTGAGCGCAGACTGCTAAAGTCCGTACACGCAATCTAGAAGACAGAAAATGAGATATAAAATTAATTTAAGCCAACTTAATGGAAGCTATAAGGCCACTTTTAACTCTCTTTTGAATAATGCATGAATCTCTTGAATAAAGCGAAAAAGTACGTGAAGCCGTAAAAGCGTGAAAGATTTAAGGAAAAGAGAGAGGCCCGGCAAATTTCAACGCGCCCGCAGATATAAAGCGATACGCATTCACGCAAGTATCGACGAGATGCGTAATTATTAAAGACTCACAGCCCCGAAGAAGAAAGTTTTCATATTTATTAAAAATAATTAATCAATATGAATAAAAAATTTATGAATCATTTTCAAGACGTTGCTTCAGGAAGTATAAAAAGAAGTTACAAGTCCATGTGCTGTGCAAAACATTCATTGTATTTTGATAAATGCACGTTTTCATTGTGATATTACGGAATTTATATATAAAATTCTGTTAGCTTTTTATACGAGAAATACATTTTATTTGCGTTTATATTTGCGGTTATATTATATTGCGTTTATATAATTGATATTCATCGTTAATAAAGTCGTTATTAATAAGCTACATTTCACGTTCGTCAAGCATTCTATCTGCTGCTATTTTTAATTAAGGAAAAATCCGTTAAAAGCATTGGCTGTATGTTGATCTTTGTATCTGCATTGAGAGATACCGTGCAATTTTTAATTTAATAATTATAAATTACGTATACATCATATTTGATGACTCGTTTGGCATCAATCGTATTGGTACACGATGTTTTCCTCGTCTAAATAAAATTGATTTGCTTTATAGGAAGAATTTTCTATTCACATTCAAATTATTTATCCGCGTCAAATATAAATAAAGAATGCTATCCCATTATTTGAAAATATGCATTAAATGATTCGTTTCACCGAATCCACCATTTTTGACTTTCACATTATCGAGAACTCATTGAAAAGAACTCATTAAAAAATAATAAATAACATTGGAGAGTAAAATTATTATTTCCCATTTTCTAACAAAAATGAGAATTCCTTGCGAAGTATGTCGGTGATTATACGTAGGATCGTAAAAAGAATCGGCGTAACCGAATACTACGTAAATTGACGACGCTGTGATGCGGTGTTTACGCTAAGGAGCGAAATCAATAAACAACTTGACGCGATCATTCATTGATTTACGATCTTATTTCATGTCGATTGGTATTTGCGAGTTGCCATCGCCGCGCGCATTACGACATTTATGTCGTATTGTGATTTATCTTTATAAGAGCAGCACCTTATTCTACGAGTAAGGGTAATCAATCATAATGAGTTACTAGGAGAACAAATTCAACTGGTCAAACATAACAGAAATATTACGACTAGATACATAAATCAAATCGTAATTGTATCCAAAATATTGGATTGAAACAAAATACAGATGGGACTACAGACGGGATAATCTTATTACTTACGCTTATGTTTTTACAAGCTAAAGAATTTTATAAACAACGAACTAATACTGTTTATATTTCTACCATTAAATGCTATTACTGCGATTGTGTACTGAGCCGTTAATTAACGGAGTTTTAATTTATTATCGAGGCAACATTCATAGTAGTGCAAGCACGTATTGGTCAGCCACGACGTATTGTCGAGCTACAACAATCGATTTCAATTTCTAATGCAACAGTCAATATGGAATCTATTTTAATCTAAGGTAATGTAATTTCAGGTAACAAAGTAAAATCTCCTTCGGTTACTGAAACAGCTGAAAGCAGCGTCCAACGTGAGATCTCTCCAGCAATTTTCTAGCGATTACGTGAGCGAGTGTTTAGGACGGGAGATCGTGTATCAGACAGAGATGCGAGAAACAAACAAACCAAATCATACATGTCGCATGAGCTCTCGGACGATGCCGTTCCACTCGCCGGTCTCCGGGTCCCGCGCGCCGTATTTCCTGTCCGGCACCAGCTCCAGCCGGTACGAGAAGCCGACCTCCCTCGCCACCGCCGCCAGAAGGTCCACGCAAAAACCATAAAATCGCGAGTTCCCGGTGTAGTTCTTTTCGTGGCGCATCATCACGTACGGCGTCTCCTGCATCCGACGCCGAGACACACGAAACCCGGGGGATTCATGCAAGAATAACGGAAAGCGTTTTGAGACCGCCGCGGCGCGCGGCGTAAACGCGAATTTATGACGAGACACGTTGGCGCCGACCATATCGAGAAACTTTCAACTAGGCTATCGCGCGTTTCTCGCTCGATTCTACCAAAATGGGTGGTATGGCGATGGCCGGAGAGTCGAAACAGTAAAAGTCGGCATTATGTGCCATGTGACATCTACTTCGCCTTACGTGTATCTTCCTTTTTGTTTTAGGGGACAGAAGTTATTATGAATATATTTGAATATATTTCCTTATAGCTGCGTGTCCAAATGTCGCATAATCTTGCAATGAAACGTGCGTGTAGATTTGCGTAAAGACATAAAAAGTCTCCCTTAAGATATTAACTTTCTTGCCGTTTTAACATGAGAAACGAATAACGGTAAAGTTATTGCGCGACAAAGTGCACATTTGACGGCCGACTCGGCAGAACTCACCAGTATAGTGATCACAATCAGAGTTACATTCCCAATGCTGGGCTCGAAAAAGGCTGCGGTGTCTGTGACGTTGACGCCGGCGCCGGGACGCCATTCGCCGACCTAGTTTCGCATATAATGTTATATAGCCATTTTGATATTCGCGTCGTTCTTCCAACACACGCTTCCTGTTTTGCTTACGGTAAGGTCACGACGTACCTTGACGAGCGAGTGCTGTTTCAGTTTCAGCAGATCCAATTTAAACTGAATTCTGCGGCCTTCTTTAAATTCAATAGGTCCGGAGATTCCTTTCATCTCGACCTGCAACAAAAATCGTTGCGAATTCGCGTTCGTGAGAGTGCTCTCTATGTTGCATGCATGAATTCGTCAACCTTATTCCGCGCGTTTGGCGCGACGGCATATTCAGTAGATTGAACTTGAAATAACAGGCAGTTTGTTGAACATGTATATGGAACACTCTCATTGGAGCATTGCTCCAATGAGAGTGTTCCAATTGTTCTCATCTATTTCCCTAGTCCCATTGTACTGATAAACGAAATTCGATTTAAGTAATTTAAAGTTTAAATGTAGCAATGTCAGTAGAGTTTCGACCGAAAATTCGGTTTCGGTTTCAGTTTCAGCCAAAAATCAAAGTTTCGGAGTTGAGGTTTTGGTTTCGGCCACAATTGAACAAGAGTTTCGGCGACATAGCCGAAACTGTTTATTTTATGTTTAGAAATTTTGTTATTATTGAAATTATATGATTGCGGTAGATACTATGGATAATATATAGAATATTACAGATTATTGTGGTAATGGAATTGTAATAAAAGTCAAAATAACATCACAAGGACAATGTCACATTAACACCAGTGTATATGTTAAAAATTTAACACGAAAATTTCTACACGATTAGAAATCCACTCAAATATAACATGTTTTTTTACCGTATAAAAAAAGCTATATATGTGCGCGCGTATATATATATGAGCTTTTTAGGATTCCCATGAACGTCTCGGTTTTCGATTTTGGTTTCAGCCGAAATTGAGACATAACCGAATATTCGTTTCGGGTTTCGTCAGAAAATTAAAAAAAGATTGTTTCGGTCGGAAACACACACTCTAAAGGACATCTTTTTGAAGACAAGATAAAATTGTAAATTTATTCTAAAATTGCGAGATAAGGTGTGTCTGAAATAAAGCGTTGTGCTATTATAATGGCAGGTTAACTCAGACGGGAAGAAGATTTTCTTACGTGCTCCACATAAACTGCGAACTACATTAAAATGCGATGCAAGACGGATGTGCATCGTCGGCGTAAATCTCTCAATCTCGGAGCGCAGCAGCAGTGTCTTCCGGCGCGAAGACAAAACTCGGGTGGTAGTTTGACTAACGGCTATTGGCCGTATTACCGGCTTAGAAATTTTCCCGGTTGCCTTAAAAATTTTCGCACTTAGAAAGTCGTTACCGCTTACGTGCGCGCGAATCTCGTAAAGTCGTTAAAGCCTCCTTTTCCAAAGATCTTACGCCACTCGTACGCTATTCGGGCAGGTCATATTCACCGGCTTCCGGTAAGATGCCTGGGAAATCTACGGGGCTATCGACGATTGAGCGATATTAAGAGAGTGACGGGATATTAGCGAGGAAAAGAGACGAGGCAGATGGATACGTATAGTTCTGGCGGAGATCACGGAACGCATAAACTTCTTCGGAACGAAGAAGATCGTCGAAGTCGAGCACATCTTTCGTACAATCGGCAATATCATTTGAAAGAATTTTTAACACTTCCGACTTCTCTCTTGTTTCGAGACAAAGCCTGAAGTGAATGCAAGTACATAGTAACTATCGTCAAAGAAAAATCACTTAATCCTCGAAATAGAAAAGATTACTGTTTACCGGAGGATTAAAAAAATTGGATCTAAAAAATTGGGCAATTTTTTATAATATTTCACATTAAATGCTGATATATTTATACACATATTTATACATATGTAGTTTATATGTAAACGCCTTCTCTCTAATGTTTAATTAAAATTGCAGCTTAGAATTCAAGTATTTATTATGATATTATATTTTAACTACTCTCATACCCTTCTGTGGAATGACTTTTTGTTATCCGAGAAAATTATAACTTTTTATAACGACAAACTAAAATTTCATAACTGTAATATTTTTATTTTTCCTGTACGTGCAAAATAACCGATACGTTTGCTAAACCGCAAAACATTAAATTAAAATATAAGAGCTTTTAACGTAAAAAGAAAAAATGAAAAAACGACTGTGTATAAAAATATATGCATATAGTTTAATGCAGTTTGTGTCGCAAGAAATACAATACAGTTTTTGTCATATGATATATTTTTATGTTCACACGAAAGCTATGGTTCCATGCCAGTTTATAGGTAGGACATTTAATTTTTAATTGTTTCCGTTATATTTTTGTTAGAATTCTAACTAATTCCGGCGTTACCGAATTTTTTGTTACAAGACACTTGAGAAGGACCCAAAACTCCCGGGTCGAAACGTCGTGATTAAGCGTTATTGTTACTCAGCAATTAATTGCGTCGATTTAATAAAGATTCCTGATATATTTTGGTTATATGATATATATTTTCAACATAAAAAACTGAACTAGGTACATATTTTCTTCATGCTCTTGGGATTACCTATACTCAATATAAGCATGGCAGGATGCACATCTCACAATAAAACTCAGAAAGCAAACAATGCCAGATAAAAGAAATTTTCAGCTTATTCTTGCGGTCGTAGAAATCGTCCTTCGCCTTTTTCTAATCTTCGATTTGCTTTTTCGCGATTCGTGAGTAAAATCGCAGCAAAACGACGAAGCAAAAATACATGTATGTATACATTATTTCGTAACACTAAATCGAAGTGTAACAAAAACATGGGCTTTTGAATATTGCGTATTTGAATAAATATGCAAAAACGAAAATACGAGAGTGGAAATTTCCTCGATAGCGTTTCGTTTTTGCGGAATAATGCAAGAATAGAATGCATAGAAACGGAAAATGAGGTGAGAGCAAGGTAAATGCGAACCTAAAGTTTGATTACCTCGTTAAGCAGCAACTTTCGCCAAGAGAGAATTCATGATTCCGACTGCCACGCAATAATTCCACGTTCTTTTTTTTAAACAGAAAGGCAAGAAATAATATTATAATATATACCATTTATATCTTCGGTTTCTCTTAAAGTAAAACTATTAATGTGGTCCTTTCTAAGTTGTGGTTCTTTCGTTAGTCGACTTGAAAGTTACGCGATGCATACTCCAACATCAAAGCAACCTATATACATATACAATCGCATCACATTTATGGCTACATTCTTTTACATTAGTTTTATATTTTTCGCGAATGCAGCTGAGTTGACTGTCCACCAGATTTTTCGTCAGCGCGTAACCATAAAGTGTGAAATTAACGTATGAAAAGCGACATTGTACTAAATTAGCAACATCGCATGTTTTAAATATATTACACCGGTGTCCTCATAAAATATTCATAACATGTAAATTATGCTATTGCATAAATGAATGTAAATGTAAAATGTTATGACAGTTCGCAAACCGCGACAGCTAAATACCGCTTCACGCGCATTTAAACGTGCCTTATGACAATTTAATAAAATAAACAATGTCACATCTGTCCGCATATATGCTCCTGTAACTTCTTGCCATTCCAATAAAACAGCGGTATACCGTAAAAATTCTCGCAGCCTGACAGCTTGAATTCTCTTTATTACGCCGATCAAAATTCAGGTGCGAGTGCGGCCGAAATAAACGATCGATAAATTCAACGCGATATCTCTATAGCAACTGCCGGGCACAGTTTCGTTTTCGCGGCGGGTCTAATTAAAGCCAAAGCGGAAGTTACCACGGATTGTCGGGCGTGACTCAAATCCGAGAGTGCCTCTCTTCCGCGCGGCACGAGAAAACGTCGCGGAGTAACGGCGACGACGCGACGCGACGCGACGGTCGCTCGCCGTAGCATCGGGATAATTGTAAATTGTTATTACGGAGGACACTCCTTTTGTCCGCGAGGAAATCCCTTTTCATAGACGGACGTGGCGCGACGACGACGACGGCAACGACGACTTTTATCATTGTGTGTCCTCCTCGCGAGTTCCGCGTCGTGTCGCGTATATCCTGGCCACGCGAGCGGAATATGAGAAGTCGTCTTAAAAGCGAAACGCGTCGCGCCGGCACGAATCTCGTGGCACATTTTGGCCTCATATATAGAGCACGTGATGGCGCGACCGGCAAAGAGATCTCGTATCACGCAGCAAAAGCAGAAATACTATTCAGTGAAATCAGGACGCAGCGAAAGAAATTTGATATATTTTACACCTTTGAAATTCTATTACGGATGATAGTAATAAATTGTACTACACGGAGGAAAAAATGATGTTGTATCAACACCATTAGTCTAATTGGAAATAATCTTGTTAATTCAATACGTCATGCTTTATTGTAATAAAATAAGTATTTCTTTTAATAAAATAAGTATAACTGTTTCACTAATATTGTTATTGAATTAACAAGATTATTTCCAATTAGACTAATGCTGTTGATACAACATCATTTTTTTCTCTGTGTAACAACAAGATGCGTTTACGGTTCCTTTTAAGATACGCGCAAGCCGTTTGACCTTTAATTAATGAAGCTTTGTAAGGGCAATTAATTATTGTATTCTATCTTTGTATATATCAAAATTCGTTTATTTGTATAATGTTGCGATTCGTTGAGCAATAGTTGTAGATTCGCACGAATGGATAAAACAATCCCATTAGTAAATTATTCACGGGTGAACTTACGCTATACAACCAAGTTATTGCCGAACGAGCGGAAACGCTGCGCGGTACATTTTCGCAGCAATCAGTAACCGCGGTCACTTTACGTTTACGCGCATATATGTAACTCTAATTGTCGATACTATACTTAACTTCGCTTGATTTATGCATTTACTTCCGTAATGAAAATGGATTAAATTTTCGCGTTCCAAAAATAAAGTTTTGGCAAGAAAGTTCACTCTCGTAAATCGCAAGGAGAATAAGAAGTAGCGAGTAAAAGAAATGAAGAGAAGAGCATGAAAAAGAACAGCGAACTTCGTTGGATCGGCAGTTACTAAACACCCTATATATATATATATATATGATTTAACACTTTTCCTCGCCAATGTCACGCCGACAGGTTGAGCTCTCTCGGTACCGTAAAAAAGTCACGATCCTGCCAGAAAGTCGTTTATTTCTCTCTCGCGCAAGAGAATTTTTCTTTTTTCTTTCTGCCCAAAGGTGAAAGAACAGAATATC